TCACAGCAGAACAAACAGAAATATAAAGGAAACTAACACAATACTATGCAGGACCATACTCAAACAAATTTGAACACGTTAAATAAATGGACAAGCTTTACCTATCACCTACCCAAATTATGAAGCTGTGCTGGTTTACTGGGTCATGAGTTGGGTTGCTTACCACAAGGTTGTCAGTTCAAACTCACCAACTGCTCTGCTTGTGAAACCTCCCATTCATGTAAAGATTTACAGCCTCACTTTCTTGGAGATGGTTCTACTCTATCCTATAAGATCGCTAGGAGTCAGAGTTGACTCGATGGCAGTGAAACCTACATATATTAACATGGACTATAGTGGACAATCTGAACATACTCATAAGAAAGAAAGTGATCAGGAAATTACAAAAATCCCAACAAAGTTACTTTAGAACCAGAAGTCTTCACTAGCATATTCTAGTGTACATTGAGAGAAAGCTGACATTAATTCAAGTCAAAATATTCTAAAGTGTAGAAAAGGATAGGAAGCCCCAAATTCATATTATGAAGTGTGCATAATCCTGAAACTAAAACCAGATTAAGGCATCACCAGCACTAAAAATCATAAACCAAGATACCTTATGGGCTTAAGTGCAAGCATTCTCAGCAAAATCCTAGCCAACAGAATCCAACAACACATAAAAGAAAAATCAAACAACACGGCTAAGTAGGATTTATCCTAGGTGTGCAAGAATGGTTCAACATTGAAAAAGGATGGTGGCAATAGAGATAGAGCACATCGATGAAATAAAGGAAAGGAATCATATGATCATATCCATTGATTCAGAATTGAAGCAAAGTGATTTGACAAAGTCTAATCCATTCCTGATTTTTTTAAAAACTTCAGTATATAGTTGCAAATGGGAAACCCATCAACATAATAAAGGGCATAGATGCAAAGTCATAGGTCACTATTATATTCAATAGAGAGAACTGAAGGCATTTTCTTGTGAGAAGAAGCCAGACAAGACTACCTTTAGCAGCACTTGTAATAGACTGGGCTTTTAAGAGAGGCAAAAACAGTGGTGCACATATATATAAAGATGTAAAATGTATGCATTCTATATGTAAAATATATATACAGTGAACCCTCGTTTATCGCAGTTAATCCGTTCTAGACCCTACCGTGATAAATGAAATTCCGCGAAGTAGGATTCCTTGTTTGTAAATCAAATATTTTCGTTGTTAGAGCATAGAGGACATGAAAAAACACCCTTTAGTCACCATTACACTCGTATTACCCAATATATTAAACGAAAAAGGGAAAATACAGTAAAACATTTTGGACGTTACAATTATAATTTATTATTTATTATATTATTTATGGCATCAAGCGTGTACAGTATGAGCCAATCAGTGGCAGTAATGACAGAGCATGCGCTGTTACACAAAAACCGCGATAGAGTGAAGCCGCAGAAGTCGAAGCGCGAAGTGGCGAGGGTTCACAGTAAAGGAATTTATACCAAAGAAGTGGCTCACCCAGTTCTATGCACAAGTTCAGTCTGGTTCAATTGTGTGGGTCTCAGGTTAAGCTAAAGTCTTTTCCTGACTCACGTTGCTGGAGCTGAGAAGTCAAGAAGCACAAAGGTAAAACTGGACGGCCTAGGCAGTGAATGCAAGGTCAGCAAATCAAGAAGCAGCAATGATAGCTCCCAGGATCAGTAGGTGATGTCCTATGCTATGGATTCATATCCAAAGAACCAGAGTTTGAAGAGCCAGGTGCAGACTTCAGAGCAGATTGTAAATCATTACAATGATTTCTTCCAAAGAGCAACTGGTGGTCTTGAGATGCTGGTCCTGCAGTTAGCAGCCCAATGTGTAACTCACTATGCTACCAAGGCTCCTGATTATCATAAAAAACATCTAATGATTGCAATAACCATATTGTATTGGCTAGAGACAAATCCCAGGCCCTGCATACCAGTATGGGGAAAGATTATGTAAGGGCATAATCATTAATAAGGGTCATGAAAACTACCTTTAGATCGCTCTATCATATTTTGTAAAAGAGATATTCCTTGGAAACATGATAGTTGGTAAGAACAAAGTGAATGAAACATAACATTTATAAAATATTAGAAAATACTGAACATGTACTATTTTCACTTTAAAAAAATATAGTCTTTCTGGATGCAAAAGAAAAGTAAATAATACTGTAAGTCTAAGTCATCTATGCTTTACCCATTTTCCATATAATTGCCTGCTGTAGTCCAGGAGAATAATAAATATATACATTTTTTAAAATTCAGTATTCATAAATGCTTGCATAAGAGGAAGATGAGTAAGTGACATCAGCATATTAAAGCAATACATTTTATACAAGTCTGATTCTGCATTTGAAAATTAGTAGGTTTACTTCATTACATCAAGATAATTAAACCTGTTATATCAAGTGATCTCAAATGGACAGTCATACTATTCCAATAACAATTCATCAAAGAAAAGTTCCAGAAAACAGGTAATGGGGAAGCATCTGAAACTTGGTACAGAATGCCTATAAAAGGCATATAACTAGCTTTAAAGGCAAAGGAAAAGACCAAGAGAGCTACAGAAAAACAAAAGAACAGACAGAAGAACTCTGAAAAACACTTAAGAGCAATTGAACAGAATAAATGAATACCAAAGAGAAATCCAGTTATCAAAACAGCATGGAATTGAATACAAAGATAGATATGTAAACCAAAAAATCCCAACAGAATAGAATAGAAAACCCAGAAATAACTTCATGCCCCTACAGAAAGGTGAATTTTTAAAAACAATTTTATTGGGACATAGTCTGCATATCATAAAATTCAATAGTTCAATCATATCAAGAACGATTGTATAATCATTACCACAATCAATTTTACAAAACCTGAAATGCGTTAAATGGGAAAAGATAGTCTCTTTAGCAAATGGTGCTGGTAAAATTGCTATTCTGTTTGCTGAAGAATGAAATAGTACCCAATCCTCACTCCACAAAAAGAAACTCAATATGAAAAAAACTTAAATGTGCACCCTAGAACTCTAATGGTCACCAATGTAAAAGTAGAGACGAACATAAGGGCCCAAATGTAGGACTGAACACACGATGAAGCATCAGAAAAAGAAAAGCGCACGCATCCACAACAGAAGAAAGAATAGGTGACTGGAACCTCCTGAAAATCAGACATCTGTGAACATCAAAACAGTTCATCAAGAACTAAAAGAAAACCCACAGGCTCAGGGGGAAATCTGTAAAGTCTACAGAGACGTGCAACAGCTCAACAACAAAAAGATGAATAATCTATGTAAAATATTCAGAAGACACGCATGGACAATTTGCCAAAGATTGCATCCAGGTGGCCAACACACATACTAAGAAATGCTGGTCATCCTTAGCCATTCAAGAGATGCAAATCAAAACAATATCATCTCACACTAGCACTGATGGCAAAGATAAAACAACATAGGAAATAACGAATGCTAAAGAAGACATCGAGAGATTGGAATCTTCATACATTTCTTGTGGGAATGTAAAACTGTAGAGTCACTATGGAAAGCATCATGGTGCTTCCTTGAGTGGTGAATAGAAATACCATAAGACCTAGCAATCTTTTTACTTGGTCTCTACTCTAAAGAAATAAGGAGCAAAACAGCAAGAGATGCATGTACACCCATGTGTATTGCAGCACTGTTCATAATAGCAAGAAGACAGAAACAGCACAAATGCCTTTGTGTGGAAGAATGGGTCGATTCTGGTACGTCCATACAATGGAATATATTCTCCACTAAAGAGCAACCATGAAACCATTCACCATTTCATGACATGGATGAATTTGGAACATATTATGCTGATTAAAACGAATTAATCACATAAAGTCAAGTATTTATGATACCATTATTATTAAAGAAAAATGATCAATATAAAATATTTTTATAACAAGCCTTTGATGGTCATGGCAAGGGAGATAAACAAGCAAGGGAAAGGCATAAGTGGGAGGAATAACCCAAAACTGAAACTCTTTCTGTAGTTATAGAGATCACATTGAACTTTTAATTTGGGGAGCTCTGATACCTTGATGGTGCTGAGGCATCTAAGATTAGAATAGAGGATTTCTTCTCATATTTTCAGGTCTACTTCAGTGTCTTTGGGGAATGATTGACAGTTTACTTCATAAATTTTGGACAATTTTGTTAGGTGTATTCCTCTGATTCGCAAAGGACGCATCTCATCTTCTGGAGATAAAAAAGTCTGATAGCTAGCTTCACATACAATGTTGAATCCTTCCTTTAGACTGTGTTTCTTCTCTATTTGCTATTGTCAGAGAACATCTTTTCAAGTTCTGCTAGCCGTAGTCCACTGTTATGTTTACTTAAGGCATAGTAGCACATGTTTGTGCAGGATGAGCACAGAGAGAGGCAGAGAAATACCATCTGATGAATGTATTAAGTGTGGTGTTCCTACTCATAGTGAGTAGTGTTTTCAAAAGTACTCATAGTGTTTCAAAAGAAAACACTACCCAGTCCAGTGTGATCTTTATCATTTGCATTAGGCCAGCTTTATATCAAGAAGTACTTGTTTATCAAGATGGCATATCTGCCCAGTCCAACTCAAGTTCATAATCTTATGCTAGTTCATAAATTGATTTTCAAACTCACTTGGTGTGGCAGTTACATAATCTCCTGTTAACTTGAGTGAAGGTGTGGAGTCTAGCCTGTCAATCAGGTCATAGCCAATGAGGTCTCTGTATGGGCATGGCCTTCTCTTGAGGATGCTGGGATCCCCGGTTTTCCTCCTGGGAGGCAGGAAACACTTTCTGCTTCGTCTCCCTGCTGATTAGACATATGGAACCATGCCAGAGCCCTGGAGCTGGAGGAGTCATGTGGAGACCCACGTCATTGCTGAGATGCTTCCACCACTACTGAATCCTCATGATATTCCACCTACAGGCCTGTGATCTTCCTGTGTTTAGCATCATTGCATGTGTTGCGGGAGTCTGAAGAGGAACTTATAGACTGATATTGGACATATGGGCTAATATCACACTTATGGACTTGATCTGGAATGGGCTGGAATGTTTCTTAATATATAATTAGTCTTCGATATAAAATTCTCTCTTACATACATTGAGTGTCTATGAATTTGATTCTCTAGTCAACCCAGACTACACATTTGGCCACATGCAAGTGATGCAGGGTTGTGAACTGCAAAGCACATCACAGGTCGGTGTTTGCCGGGTTTTGTGGATCGAAGGGTGGATGGAAACGTTGCAGGGAACCAACAGCTCTCAGGGTTGGTTAGCCCACCCCGTCAAAGAAGACACAGAGTCTCAGTGGAGTTGCAGTGAGGAGGTAGGTAAAGTGGCAGGGAGATATCTCTGTTTGCTTTGCTCTTATACATATACATATGTAAGCCTCACTAGTATTGTTTCTCTAGGGATCCCAGCCTAAATAACAGTATTTCATCAATTCCAGCAGCCTCCATTTTTGGCAATGAGGGCAGCTTGAGATATTCAGCAAGTGTTCTTCCCTTTGGGTTTCCCATTAGTCTTCAAAGCATTAAATTTCTACTTGAGAGGTCTATACATTAAGATGGGCTGTACTCAGGGTTATGGTTTAGCTCCAGTGGACTTGTCTTACTATTCTTCAGTTTCAACTTGATTTTGGATTTGATCAACTGCTGGTTTCTCCTGAAGTTAGCTCCTGGCCTTGTTCTAACTATTGATACTGAATATCTTTATCCTCTCTTTTTATGGATATGTAAAACATTAATTTTTAAGAATACAGTAAGAGAAAGAAAAAGGTAGAATTAAAATATTACAGTCAACAATAATAATGAGCCATGCCCTACATTGTGTAATTAAAAAATTAGAAATAATAATATAATAAGTATGACTTTGAATGTAAGATAAATATTTCATAATTTTTTCAGAAAAAATTCCTTTAATTTTATGTTGATGTGTGTTCTCTCAGTTTTTATTGTGTCTGTATATTATTATGTACTGATAATATCTATTCAATATATTTTATAAAGGAACAAGATATTTGAATAGCATAAATTCTATATTTTGTCCTTCCCCATTGCTATTTCATATACTTTCATGTGGGATTATAAAGAGACTTTTGCCCTAGCTTTGTCTCCCCCAAAGATATGCCAAACATTAGAAGCTATTTGCCAGCATATAATGGGAAGTCAGATGCTTAGAGACATCCTCCCTGAAGGCAGTCAGTTGCCAGACTACTGTCTGATCCCACCACAAGAGGGGTCCACACCTTGCTGTTAGGACAATGGACTACTTCTCCCTAAAGGCTTGCAGACACCAGTCTGTTTCCTGTAGGTAGCGCTATTGAAAATGGTTTCCATGGAGATCCAGAGAACAGGTCAAACCTGCTCAGTGACATCCAAAGTTAGGCTGCCATCCTGAATCTAGGATCTGCCTTTCTTGTAACATGTGTGTCCCCAATCCCTCCCCTTCCTATTGCGTGTATATCCCTAGATTGTCCCCCTCTCATTGCTGTATAACCTATAGTGCAACCCCTTCCTGTAATGTACATCTTTATCTGTAATTAGGGGGCTTGCATGCTCCCCAAAGATATATATGCCTTGGTTAGCAATAAAGACCTCTCTCCCTCACCTCCCTCTCACCCTGGCTCTCTTCCCTGGCTGCCTCTCCCTCACTTGCTGCCCTGTCCCCTTTCCCCTTTGCCTCCTTCCCCTCCCCTTATATCTTTCCATGAAGTCTCCCATCTCCAAGTGGACCACCAAGCAGGGCTGAGGTGAGCATGTTACTATAAATTGTGTATGACTCCATTATTTCAATCTCTCTTCTATCTCTCATGCTCTCTATGACTTTATTATAATCTTTATATATATCTTAATCGTACAATTGCGCCTATCGACCCCACGATTAGTTGTGGTGGGCTGGCCTTTCCTCCACAATTTCATATAATTTAATTGTATCCTTTTTGATGACAATAGTTTCTTTTAAAAATAAAATAATGTTGACAATATGTGAGTCATCATGATCCAAGACTGTTATTCATTTAAAAAATATGTATATATGTACACTTCTCTGAAGTGTAAGGTTTAAAAATAGTATTTTCTAAGGGAACTTAATTAAAATTGTGTAACGTGAATTAAGGGTGCACTCATCAGCATCCTCCATCTCTTGAGACGTTTCAGTTCAGAGAGAATCCCCTGTGACCTTTCTGGGAACAGATAAAATAGATTTGTTTGCCTTAAAAATAATATTCAGGAAACAAAGGCATTTCTTCGGAAAGAGAAGAAATAAAGAACATTTAAAAGCCCATCTCTTTTGGAAAAGTGACATTTTGAGCCAAACAGACTATCAGATGGGCTTTCTTAATATGAGTATTTAAGGTCTGAACATTTTTGGGAATCAAGACATATTGTCTACTCTTTAATTGTGCAATTTATACTAGTACTTTACATTTCACGTTCTTAATATATTTTTGTTTATTGTTTGCACCAGCTCTAATTCATGGCCATGTTACTTCCTTCTTTCAAATAGCGGTTGTTTCTTCATTTTTACTCTTGTTTTTAGACCTATCTTCCTTATGCACTCAAAACTCCCCCTCAATAATTATCAAAGTATACAATTCTTCCTCAGTCATAACGATTTCCCAGAGCTTTGTTACAAGGAGGCCACATTTTCCCCTTTTCAGAGTCTTACATACACTCCATGAAGACCTTTGTCTTCCATCATGAATGGTGGCTCTGTAAGTACTTGCAGACTTAGGGCAGGGTTCTACTTTATATTCATCACCTCTGATTCCAGGAACGTATGGTCTAAGTTTCAGATGCTACTTAATGAACATGAACTACATATACTTTCCACAGAGCTTCTACCACTAATTAAGAAACTCAGATTTTCACCATGTTATCAACCTTTCCCTGGATCTCAAGTTGCAAGATTCTTTGGCTATTTTGCTTCTGGTCAGGACCTGGCACCTTCTATCAGCTGCTGGGGTTATGCCACTTTCTGTATGGGTGCATCCTTCTTCCGAAATAGGCTTTCTATTGGAAATATTCCCAATTATTCCCATCATCACTGTTTGTCGCAATGATTATTTTTCCAAATTCCACTTTTGCATTTTGTCAGTGTGTCCTTGCGTAAGAAAACCAATAAGAAACAACTTGGGAAGTCTATGATGGATTCTAGCGGTGAAGCATCATCACACCTGGACTGTCATGTAAAGTAAATTTACAGAGCATTTTGAGTAATCACCCAAATCTCTTCCACATTTAAAAATTATCTAATTGTAAGTATAAATTGCTTCTCAATTCATTGTTTTTTATATTTTCTAATCAATGTACAGTACAACTTAGATCATTTAACTTGGGCCTGCAGAATCTCTTTTTAAAAGGTGGTAAAGTAATAGTTTATTAAGGAGAAAGCTTTCAATTTAAAATGTGTACATTTAGAATAAATTGAGTTTTAGGTTTAAGTGTCTTAAATATTTTGTTATTTATTCTTAATATAGCATGATAAAGGGTTTTTTTAATTTAAAATTTTGAAACATTTCTTTGTCAAGAGAAACAAAGACATTAGCTAATGGCTACAAATATTTTAATAATAAAAGTATTATCCTTCAATTATAGTTCTCTATATTTTTTCATGTATATATAGTTACATCTTTAAAAGAAAGTATGGTATCTTTCATGAGTATAATTTATATTTGTATACACATATGTATATTGGACCTCTCAATGACTCACAAAAGATTACATGTCTTCATTCATCACAGATTTTCTTCATTCATGTACTTTATTCAAAATTCAGTACAATAAATTAATCTGTTGCTAATTTATTGTCTTGTACTGTATATATAATGTGGTTTTTTAATTAAAAAATGGAATCAAAAGAAAACCCTGAACTCAGTAATTTATTATGTTTTGTTTTCATTTCTAAGGAGCCATGGTGGCACAGTGGATCAAACATTGGACTGCTAACTGAGAAGGCAGCATTCAAACCAACCACCGATTTCCACTTGTAGACCTAACTGAAGTCCTCACCCCCACCACCACCTCAAGCACCAGCACCACCAGCAACAACAACAACCACAAAATGAAAAATCATTCATCTGTTAAAGAATTCATCCTCCTGGGATTAACAGATGACCCAGAGCTAAATGTTTTAGTTTTTATTTTTCTATTTTTCACATACATGCTTAGTATTACTGGAAATCTGACAATTATCACCCTTACTTTGATAGATTCCCACCTCAAAATTCCCATGTATTTCTTCCTTCGGAATTTCTCTTTCCTTGAAATTTCATTCACAACAGTTTGTATTCCTAGATTTTTGGTCAGCATTCTAACAGGGGACAGGACCATCTCCTATAATTCGTGCATGGCTCAAGTGTTTTTCTTTATACTCCTTGGGTCAACAGAATTTTTCCTTTTGACAGTAATGTCATATGATCGCTATGTAGCCATATGTAAGCCATTGCATTACACAACAATAATGAACAGTAAAATCTGCATCCAGCTAGTGATAAGTTCTTGGCTGGCTGGATTTCTCATTATTTTTCCACCTGTGATTATGGGTCTTCAATTGGATTTTTGTGACTCCAACATCATTGACCACTTTGCCTGTGACTCTTCTCCCATGCTGATGATCTCCTGCACAGACACAGCACTCCTACAGCTCCTCGCGTTTGTCCTGGCAGTGTTCACGCTGATGAGCACCTTAACATTAGTGATTCTTTCCTACGCTTTTATCCTTAGGACAATTCTGAGAATCCCCTCTGCTGAACAGAGGAAAAAAGCCTTCTCCACTTGTTCCTCACACATGTTCGTTGTCTCTCTTTCTTATGGAAGTTGTATTTTTATGTATGTCAAAACCTCCGCAGAGGATGGAGTGGCCTTAACTAAGGGTGTAGCAGTGCTCAATACCTCTGTTGCCCCAATGCTCAATCCATTCATTTACTCCCTAAGGAACCAACAGGTGAAGCAGGCCTTTAAGAACTTAGTTAAAAGATATTTTTCAAATAATCTTCAATCATAAAGAAATTCTAAGCCTAAAATTTAAGTTGAATTTCATGTTTAATGCAATATTGATATTGTTCTATTTCTCATCTGCTAGAAAACTCGTGATGCTGTGATTAAGGGCTGGGGTGCTAAACACAAAGTCATTAGTTCCAAACCAGCAGCTGCTCCAAGGGAGAAAGACAAGACTTTCTACTCCTGTAGAGAATTACTGCCTTTGACACCCACAGGGACAATCCTTCCCTGATCTATGGGATCACTATGAGTTGGAATTGATGCACTAGCAGGGCATTTGGTATTTTTTATTGAATTGAACTTTCCTTGCTTTTATGTTTTGTTCTATATTTGTCTAGCCCCAAAATCAAAAAGGTCCTTAGGAGAAGCATGTGTGATTAAAGAAAATATATAATACAGAAAAGATGGAGACAGGGACTTTTCTTCCTCAATGTTGGAAAGAGAGGCCGAGTTTATTTTACAGTGAGCTTGTATAGTGGCGAGGTGCGCAAGCCTTTGTCAGGCACAAACACACTAGATTGGGCAAAGTATGAATCTGAGACCTTCTGAGTTTTCATGGGAGAATTCCTCATAATGAGTATAAGGCATCTAAGAGACAATAGGGTAGTTGACCACTATGGGATGGGGACAAAGGAAGCCTGACTGCTCTCAAGCTAAGGATCTTTTAGCTGAGTACTGAGCAGCCAGGTGCCAGTGTGAGATGGCTTTACATTAGCATCTTAATGCAGGGCAGTTGTGGAGAGAACTCTTTCTATCTGGAGAATGTGTCTATATCCTTGTGCTGTGGAGGATTGTCCTCTAACACTAGCTGTGGTCTCCCAGCCCTGTGGACACAAGTGTAGAGATTAGGATGCTTATGATTTCATCCAGCTTCTCCTTTTCCATGATTTCACTGGCTCAATTATTATTCTACAAGTACACGCCCTGAAATTGTCATGATCACGAGGGGTGTTTTCTAAGTAATAAGTATTCAATTAAAAAATTTGGTTTGGACCCATCTCATTTATATTCAAGAGCAATTGTGAGGATGGCACAGGACCAAGTGGTCCATCACGTCCATGTAAGTTGGAAATTATGAGCAACTTTTTGGATTCAGGTACTTTGCTACTCTTATCTTTGGAAAACTTAATTCTTTGACAAAGGGTTTATAACACAAAAATAGTTAAACTTAATCAATTTTATCTGATGATATATTTTAAACATCGGTATGATAATTACACCATCTTCCCAGTAAAAAAGGATTTACTACACATACACATTAAAAGTATGTTAGCAAATGTGATAACTTCAGCCAGAATTGGAAAATTTAATGGACTTTCTTAAATGTACATAAGACTTACCCAGTGATTAAATGATTAAGTTGTTTTCTTTGTTTCTCTTTGCTTTATAAAACTATTTCCCCTCATTATTTTCTGTGTATTACTTTCTTACGTCTTAGTCATGTTGTTATGACTGGACCGATGTGGTACTCAGTACAGTTCAGAACGGTAGAGGAATGTGTAAGAACAGAAAGAAATGATATGCTGCTAAGTGTTTAACAACTTCTCAATATACAAACTGGTATATACACTAATATATACGTACTTATATTTATTAGATAAACAACCTAATAAAACAAATAACTCAAAATCAAGACTCTCTGGTTTCGGGAGTCTGTTGCATCAGGGTGGGTCCATTTGGCTTCTTCAGCTCGGGGCACTCTTCTAGTTCCATGTGTCAGGTCAACGGCAATGTCTCCCAGGGAGTGAAGTACTGAGAGCAAATGTCTCCTGCCTTCCGGGAGGAAGTACAGGAGTTTCCAGAATTCTCAGGAGAAGACCATGTCCACACAGAGGCCTCATTGGTTGTACAATTAATGACAGGCTGGACTCCACCCCTTCATTCATAATCCTCTCAAGTCCAAAATAGACACCAGATTACGTAACTACCACAGATGCCTTAGCAAGTCTATAAAACAGAAGTAAATATCTTTCTTGTATCTTCTGATTTCAACGAGGATCCATCTGATATCCACAATTATATCTCTCATAACATGTCTATTGAACCTGAATTTCTGGCAGCTAAAGTACTGCTGTAACTCTTGTTGAATGATCTTCAGTAAAATTTTACTTGCATGTGATATTAATGATACTGTTCTACAATTTGAGCATTCTGGTGGGGCACCTGTCTTGCGATTGGGTACAAATATAAATGCCTTCCAGGATCAAGAGGCTGTCTTCCAAATTCCTGGCATAAATGAGTGAATGCTTCTAGTACTTCATGAGCTTGTTGAAACATTTGAATTGCTATTCCACCAATTTCTGGAGCCTTGTCTTTGGCTAATGCTTTCCATGTCCTTTGAATTTCTTTCAGTACCATTGGTTCTTGCTAATACACTACCTCCTGGAACTGTGGAATGTTGACTATTTCTTTTGTTACAGCCACTCTGTGTATTCAGTCCACTTTTTGATGATACCTGTATCTTTCTATATTTTGCTCTAACATTTTTCAAAATTACCACTGTAAGTGTGAATTTTTTTTCTTGACTTATTTTAGTTTAAAATATGCTGAGTGTGTTCTTCCTTTTTGTTTTTCTAACTCTAGCTCTTCCCCTGTTTCATTCTAATATTTGCCGTTGTTTTCTGAGGTCCTTTGAGATTTTCTGTTTGGCTTTTTGACTATTATTTCTTCCATTTACCTTAGTTACTCTACAATAAAGAACAAGTTTAAGCATCTCTTCTAACATTCTTGCTGATCTTTTCTTTCTTTTCTGTATTTTTAATGGTCTTTTCCTTTTTTCATGAATGATATTTTTGATGCCGTCCCACAGTTCTTCAGGTCTCCTGTCATTCGTGTTCAATGCAGCAAATCTCTTATTGAGATTTTCTCAAAATTCAAGTGGCATACACTCAAGGTCATATTTCGGCTCTTGTGGACTTGTTTCAGTGATATTAAGATTTAACTTGAATGTACATATGACTGATTGATGCTTACTCCACAGTTAGCCCTGGCCTGGTTTTAGCTCCTGATATTGAGTTTCTCAATGGTCTCTTTCCAAAGATGGATTTAATTTGATTTCTGTGGATTCCATTTGAAAAAATCTAAGTGCATAATTGCCTTTTGTGTTGTTGAAAGTTGATATTTGCGAATAAGCAGTCACTGGTCTTGCCAGTATTCTAATATGTGAGGTTTAGCTTTGTTTCTGTCAATAAGGACATATTTTCCAATGAAATTATCAATACATATTGATTGCATGTGTGAACAATTTCAGATTGAAGACATTGGTAGATCTCTTCAATTTCATCCTTAATAGCTTTGCTGGTTGCCACATAAATTTGAAAAATAGTTGGATTGATTGTATTTAGTGGAATAGGAATAGGTATAATCCTACCAGACAGCGCTGTTCTTCAAGATAGATCTTCAAATGTGCCTTTGACTAAGAAGACAACGCCAATCTTCATGAATGTTTTATTCCAAGGATAGCGAACCATTTTATTTTCTGATTCAAAATGGTCAATTCTATTCCACTTTAGTTCACCAATGCTTAGGATAATGCCCTTCGTGCATTTTATATACTATCATAGTAGTTTTCATAGTAATGTCTTTATATTTCAGTTATTTCTATCTCTTATGTTTCTCTTTTCATCTCTACTTCTCGATATCTGCATTTCCTTTTTCTTTTCCTTAAGTTTGCAAATTTTGATAATCCTTTCAAAAAATAATTTTATGTCTTGCAGATTTTCCTCATGAATTCCGGTTTCCAAGTTCATTTATTTTGGCTCTATGATTATCATTTGTTTTCTCTGCTGTTGGAGAGTTTCTGTTGTTTTCCTTGTTCTAGATGCTGGACATGTTGTGTTAAGGATGCTGACTTTGGATGCCCCCTCTTTTGTCATGTGTGCACCGATTTCTACACATGGCCCTTTGGTAATGTATTTACTTATTTATTTTGTAGGTGATGGTTCTCTTTTTCCTTTGCTGCACTAAGAACGGTTTCCTTTCCCTTGAAATTGCCACGTTTGACTACAAGTTGCTGTGAAATTTTCCTTTGTAACTTTTCATGTGTGGGGTTTTCTCAGCTTCCTGAATTGTATTCTTCCTTCTTTTATGATATTGGAGATTTTTTTCTTCCATCATTTCTTATTCTATTTTCAGTGTAGTGGTGTGTGTGTGTGTGTGTGTGTGTGTGTGTGTGTGTGTGTGTTTTCTTCATCCCGGATCCTGATGAAACAGATTGTTTCTCTGGATAGTGCCCCACATCATTCTCTGGTTTTCTTTGAATTCCTTTGCTTTTTCTGTTGATTGCTCTTATTGGTTTAAGTAACACTGATTTCTTTTTTAGCTCAATCATTCAATTTTCCATTACTACCAATCTATTCCTCAGGTGATATTGTTCTGTTGTCTTATTTTGTTCGCTTAATGCTTATCTTCTGTTATTCCATTTAGTGGAACATTTGAAGTTTTTCAGTTTGTCCTATTGTTCTCATATGGTTCATCACATATCTTTAAGGAACTTAAGCACAATTCTTTTGAAGTCTATTAATAATAATTCCATTTCCTCGTTTTCAGAATTATACATGGACTTTGGGTGATGTAAATTGTTTATATTTATTTTCCTGATATTTTGGGCTTTGCTGAGGTTGACTGCTGTTTCTGTGGCATTGTATAGCAACTCTTAGGTATGTGTGAGCTTTAGGATCATGTTGGCTGGTGGTTCTCTCTGGTGATGTTCAAGAGGTCTAGTAAGAGTTGAAAATCATAGAGTAGTGAAATAGAGAAAAAGGAGACGTATTTGAGGAAATTGGATGGGGTAAAAGGGAGAAAATTAAATGAAAGACATAATCATAGGCCATCACGAGATAAAAAGATTTATAAAAATAGTTGGAATATGTTTTTCAAGAGGGGTAGTAAGAACTAATAGGAATAGTTAAAGTATTTCATGAAGTAAGTGAGAGAGAGAGAGAGAGAGAGAGAGCAAATAAAAATAGTGGTAGGGCAAGAGCAGAATGTAAGCAAAGAATCAGA